GATAGATAGATAGATAGATAGATAGATAGATAGATAGATAGATAGATCAAACCACAAACTTTTCTGTTAGGTTTTATGGACAAAGAACATGGAAAAAAAGGCTGGGAATTTGCTGTTTTATATATATGTTGACAGAAGAAAGATGCAGAAAAATGGAAAGATACTTTGATCCCCACAATGGAAAAACTGATGGAACTAGCAGAGATGGCTCAATTAACTGCTTTAATCGGAGAAAAAGATATTATATCAACTTCGTTTCTACTTGGAAACCATTTCTGGATTTTGTGCTCATGATGGAAAAACAATGAAACCTTGACTTTGGTTTTTGTTGATTAGATAAGTTTGTTATAGAACTGGCTAGCACGTATTAAGTATGTAAACTTAAAAACTCGAGTCTGTAACGTTTCTATCTTATTCTACTCTGCTAAGAAGAGTCAAAAGTCAATGCTTTTCTTTTCTTGCTCCCGTGTTCCCCTACATTTCTTTCTCTTCCCTTTCCCCACTATTTCAGTTTCCCTTTGTGCTTTATATCTTGATCAGCGTAATGAAATGATTAATTGCAAAGCTGTTACCTTCACAACCAGATCCACGAATCCTTTGTCGTCATCACTGCTGACAGGCGTGTAAGGTCTGATCACCAAATTCCCGTCGATCCTGGCCGAGAGGTAAACATGCTGCCCTTGAAGGTCAAGCAAAACATTCAAAAGATGAAACAAGTGTCAACTCATAAAACATTTCTATGGCTGTTTTATGCCGTAGTTGCCAATAGAAAGAGAGGGGAGGAAAGGGGTTTGAAAAAGCAGTGTGGCAGCTTGGAATTGAAAGTGCATTCTATGCATAGTTTTTCAGAGATTGTAACTATCCCAGTGGTCGCCAACCAGTGGGCCGGGGACCACTGATGGTCCATGAGAAAATTTTGGTGGTCCGCAGAGAAATGTCGCCCCCAAAGCAATTAATCCAGGCTGTTCAGGAACACAAGGCTGTGCTGCCCACATGGCCCACGGGAACACAAGGCTTGTGTCGCTTGCATTGCGAACAGGTAGTGAGGGGAGGGGGGAAAGGGCAGAAGGGGGGAACTTGCCCCACTCGCTCCATGTGCCTGGCCTGGCCACCAGGCTGCTTCTTTCCACTTCTTTCTTCTTCGGCTTTTGGATGCACACAAAAAGCAGCAGAAGTCTCTCTTTCTCTCCCCCAAACTCTGCCAGAAATGAGTCTTTGGGACCCTGCAAGGCATCCTGCTCCAAGAGGCTGCGCCGGCAAAGACTAATTTCTGGCAGAGTTTGGGGGAGAGAAAGAAAGACTTCTGCTGCTCCTGCTACTTTCCTTGCATGAAGCCAAAAGTGTCTCTCTCTATCCCCCTGAGAACAGAGCTGGAGACGGTATCCTGTGATCCCAAATAAAGAACGATCGATCAGTAGGAAAACGGGATGGGGGATTTTCCTGTAGACTTTTTGGGGGGATTTTCCCAGGGTCTCTGGTCCAAAGGATTTAAAGTTATGAGTTTGGTGGTCCCTGAGGTCCAAAAGGTTGGCAACCCCTGGACTAGGTGACTGAAGTTTCTGCTGCGCAAAATTCTAACTGGAGAACGTGATTGATGACTCCTGGCTATGGACATGTCCCATTGGAGAATATGAATTATGATACACCCCGGGGGTGGGAGGAAAACCAGGATCAAGGGTGACAATGAGTGATGTGTCTCAGAGTCAGCTACAGCCAAGGCAGTGCCGGACATGTTAACTCCCAATAAATCCTTTTGAAGTTTTGGAAGTTTGGCTCGAGACTCAGGATTTAAATGGGGGTCACTGCCAGAACCCTGATAGCAAGACAGACTTCCTTAGCTTAGCTTTGCCTCATTATTTATGGAACTAGTTTGCATTTGATGATGCAATAAATAAATAACAACAATAATAAAACTAATAATAAATAACAACAATAATAAAACTGCCTATCCGCTCAGACATTACTTTAACAGCTCTTTTAAGTCCTTGGTTTGGACTTGGAACTGTGAAGTTTTTAAACCAGTCCCAGTCTGTGAATCAAATGGAAGATTAAATCTTAAATAACAATAATAATAACAACAAGCTGACAAAGTTCTTGAAAATGAACAGGTCAAGATCCTGAGTTCCTTTTTTCAGTGCCGCGGTAAGTTCGAATGGTTACTAAATGAACTTTTGAAGGACGGCCTGTACTGAAAGCAAAACAATAATTGGGCTGATTTTTTTGTGGGGGGGGGGGGATTGGGAAGAATGGGGAAGGGGAGAGCTAAAATAAAACCAATCAAAGCTTGTGAATGCAGCCCCCCAAAATATAATTGATCGTTGTTTGCACTGTTATTCTTCTGGATAAATTCCTGGAAAACATTATGCGTAGCGTGATGGGTGTTTTTGAGAGAGACACAGCAGAATATGCTTTTTATTTTTTTGTATCCTTGAAGTTTATACTACTCCCATGGTTGCAAGGCACCAACACAACGCACCACAGCTGTTTCCCTGTGCAAAATGCCTCTGGCAGAGGAAAGGAGCAGCTGGCTTCCAATTACGGATTCCACTCGGCAACCAAGGGAAGAATGAAAGGCCAAAACAAAAACACGGAAGCCATGGTTGCAAATTCGCTTGATACCCATCCAGGGCTTTCTCCTGGCCACAAACTATAAACAATCACAATTGTGTGTGTGTGTGGTTTTTTTTTTTTTTTTGTCTAGGGTGTCACACTGGGAATTGGGTGGCACCAGGAGAAGTAAACTAAATATTCTTTGTGAGGATCCAAAGAGTAGCCATGTCGGGATGATCTATGGAAATTCATGGATCAGGATTAAGTTAGCAGGCGGTCTCTTACTCAGCAAGATGGTTGTGTTTTCTTCTGTTATTAGTTCAGTTGTGTTTAGCTTTTGGGTTGGGAGTTTGGGCTACGTGGATGAATTTTCCTATTCATTTAAAGAGTGGGTCTAGATCGGTTTAAATTTAGGTAAGAATTTTTCCACCGTCAATGCACTCTTCCTTCTAGCTAACAGAGCTTTTCTTTAAAGAAAGAAAAAAAATAAACCAGGGAAGAAGAGGAGAAAGAAGAAAGGAAAAAGAAGAAGGAGGGAGGAGAAAGAGAAGGAGGAGGAGGAGAAAGAAGAAAGGAAAAAAAGAGGGAGGAGGAGAGAAGAAAAAAGAAAGGAAAAAGAAGGGGGAAGAGGAGGGGAAGAGGAAAAACAAGAAGAGGAGGAGGAGGAAGAAGAAAGGAAGGAACGAAGAAAGGAAGAAGAGGAGGTAAAAGAAGAAAGAAAAAATAAGAGGGAGGAGAAGGCAAAGGAGAAGAAGAAATAACTTTCTTTCCAAGTCCACAATTCAATGATGTTAATTTTTTCCTCTAGTCCCCCTCCAAGTATATTTATTTTAACACAAACAGCTTACCCACAGGAAGCCCCAACACATGTCTTGGGCTTGGCAGGGCAAAGCGAAACTTTCTGGTGTCATGACTGATGTGCTGAAAAAGAGAGAAATAAACGTCATAAAACTAGAGAACAGCTCTACATGTCCATCAAAGCCCAAATGTTTATAATTGAGATACCTTATCTGCATTTCAGAACTGTGCAAATTGAAGAAATAAACACAGTTCTCAACAGCACCTAACCAAGACTGACTGCTTAATCGGCTTTCGTTGTTTATGGAACTATCTGACCAAACAATTGAAAGCCAACCCTTCAGTTACACGTTTTGGGCAGGCCACATATGTAGGACTTGGAATAAGAGTTGGAAGGTCTTCAAGGCCAACCCCTGCTTGAGCAGGAGAACCTATGCCATTGCAGACAACTGGCTGTCTAGTCTCTTCTTAAGAACCTCCAGGGATGGAGCAGCCACAACTTCTGGTGACAAGTTGTTCCACTGGTTAAATGTTCTCACTGTTGGTAAGTTTCTCCTTAGTTCTAGGTTGCTTCTCTTCTCAATTAGTTTCCACCCATTGCTTCTTGTCCTGCCTTCAGGTGCTTTGGAGAATAAGTTGACCTCTTCTTCTTTGGGGCAGCCCCTCAGATATTGGAAGGCTGCTGTCATGTCTCCCCTAGTCCTTCTTTTCCCTAAACTAGACATACCCAGTTCCTGCAACCGTTCTTCACATGTTTTAGCCTCCGGTCCCCTAATCATCCTGGTTGCTCTTCTATGCACTCTTTCCAGCATCTCCACATCTTTTTTAGATTGTGATGACCAAAACTGGATGTGGTATTCCAAGTGTGATCTTACACAAAGGATTTATCAAGCGTTACTAGTACTTCACAGTATTAATACTTCACATAAAAGAGGGCAGGAACCTAACTGCACAGCCATCAGCTAAATCCATGATTATTATTTTTTGACCCTACACCCATACATATTTGCGGCTGCAGTGATAAGTCTATAAAGGTAAAAGGTAAAGGTTCCCCTCGCACATAAGTGCTAGTCGTTTCCGGCTCTAGGGGGCGCTGCTCCTCTCCATTACAAAGCTGAAGAGCCAGAGCTACGCAGACGTCTCCATGGTCATGTGGCCGGCAGGACTAAACGCCTTTGAAGGTGCATGGAATGCTGCTCCCTTCCCACCAAAGTGGTCCCTATTTTGCTACTTGCATTTTTTACATACTTTCAAACTGCTAGGTTGGCAGAAGCTGGGACAAGGAACAGGAGCTCACTCCGTTACGTGGCGCTAGGGATTCGAACCGCCGACCTGCCGACCTTTTTCTGATCAACAAGCTCAGCCTCTTAGCCACTGAGCCACCACTTCCCTTGACAATTCTATACCAAGTTCTAAACAATATTCAACAAGAGTCCAAAAACACCACACCACATCATGACAACCCTTCTTTCATGCATGGATGGGGCACAGATCAGATCAATAAATCCAGACCCGGAGCTAAGGTCACATATTCAAACAATATAATGAGTTACGTTCATAGAGCAAACATTTTAGAAAGCTGGCTGGCTCAAATGATCCATATTTTTAATACTATCTGCCAATAGGCTCGCATAAATTAGAAATCAGGGCAGCTGCAGATTGAAAAGGTTAAGTTTAGCCTTTTAGTAAAAGAGCCCAATCAGGAAGAATCATTATGAGGTCGATCCACTCCATTTGAAATAATAAATATGGGCGTATTAGATCTCCAAATCTTCCAATTTTACACACAAGGCTTTCTACTTGATTTATCAAGTTACATGGCGATACAAGCATCAAACATCTCCCCAACATTACTAATTTTCCATCAATGCAGAATTTTATTTTCTATAGTGTGTTCTATTGCTTGCAAGCCCACCTAGAGTCACTGCGATCGAGTAGGCGTCTATAGAAAATTTCTAAATAAATTTAAATGTAAATATCGAGGAGAGTTGGTTCAATATCCAGTTTTTCAACCTCTCCGTATTACGAAAGGCCACAGCACTAACCTACATTTTGCAATATTTCTCAATGAATATACAATGCCTCAAAGGTTGATATAGATAAAACTGCCACATATCAACAGTTAAGAAGTAGGAAATATTTATTCTGCCTACTTCAATCTTGGTTTCTTGGCATACTGACATCAGTTTGGGTATTAAAACATTTTTTAAAAAATTGGGGAGAGAGAGAGAATGAGGGAGAGAGAGGGAGGGAGAGGAGAGGGAGGGAGAGAGAGGAGAGGGAAGAAGGGAGAGGGAGAGAGAGAGGAGAGGGAGGAAGGGAGAGAGATGGAGGGAGGAAGGGAGAGAGAGAGAGAGAGAGAGAGAGAGAGAGAGAGAAAGAAATAAGAAAGCAATTTATGTGTTACCTCTTTATCGATCAGCCTTAATGCATATTTTACATCTGGATTTTCTAGTGTGATCGGAGGCAGAGATTTCGAGAAAAGGCGCTTGATCAAACTGATCACGAAATAGACTGGAAACAGGACAATGTTTCCTAACTGTAACATAAAGAAAGAAGATGTTAAAATTCAGCATCCTGACTCGATAAACAGAAATAAATTAGAAAATGGCTACGAACAAAACAAACAAACAAGCACAATAGGAGTGCTTTTTCAGTATTATCTACCAACCATGAAAGTCTATCATGTAATCACATTTAAATATTATTATTAGATGGTAGTAAAGATACGAGTTCTTCCTTTCCAAAATCAGGTGATATGTTCGCATTAGCACAGGAGCCTCTGTGGCGCAGTTGTTAGAGTGCAGTACTGCAAGCTACTTCTGCAGCCAGCTGCCTACAATTTGGCAGTTCAAATCCCACCAGGCTCAAGGTTGACTCATCCTTCCGAGGTGGGTAAAATGAGGACCCAAATTGTGTGTGTGTGTGTGTGGGGCAAGTGGCTGACTCTGTAAATTACTTAGAGAGGGCTGCTAAGCACCATGAAGCGGTATATAAGTTTAAGTGCTTAGTACTATTGTCTTGTAAGGAGAGCAATAAGGTGAACTGAGAAAAATGTGTCTTTTCACAACTTTTTCAAAGTTCCCAAGTATTCTGCATTGATTAATTCTGCAATTGTTTCAATAACCCAGATAGTTAGTTAGATCAGGATTATTCTGGACATACCACGAGATTTATTCAAAGCTATTCAGGGAATGCTGTGGGAACGGGGGCTCAGAGGTTAAAGATGCTGAGCTTGTCAGCTGGAAATAGCCTAAGTTCAAGACACGAGCACTGTGAGATGGGGGTGAGTTCTCGTTTCTCATCTCGGCTCCTGCCCACTGAGCAGTTGGACAGCAAGCAAATGCGAATAGATCAATAGGTACCACTTCGGTGGGAAGGTAACGATACGTTTGACTTTAGCGTATCACCATGCCGGCCACATGACCATGGAAGATGTCTTCGGACAACTCTGGCTCCCTCAGCAAAGAATTGGAGTTGTAATTTGCACCCTAGAGTCAGATACGACTAGATAGGGGAAACTTTTTACATATAGTGAATGTCTATCTCAGGGGTCTCCAAACTTGACCACTTTAAGACTTCAACTCCCAGAATTCTCCAGCCAGGAGTTGAAGTCCACAAATCTTAAAGTGGCCAAGTTTGGAGACCTCTGGTCTATCTGAATAAACAAATGGTGGATTTTCCTTCTGATCCCTGTCACTTACACATAAATTCGCATAGTTAAAAACATGGTTTAATAGATAAAATGTCCATATCTCTCATCAGTAAAAACATTCTGTAAGCAATATTATTTGAAAATACTTTCCTTTTGGTAAGATGCTGTAGGAGACTGATGGGTTGTGAGTCTATTTCCCCTCCAATATATGCTTTACAAATCTGCATTTGCAATGTAAGTCAGTGAAAAGCTCCTTCTTGCAAAAGAGGAATATTTCAAGGCTGCAACAACTCCTACAACAAATAGTAGAGATTCTTCCCTGGAGTGCCAGCAGATATTTGGCCTCGAGGATCTTGTTACTAACCCTGCTTTCCAAACTGCTATAAACCTTCCCTTCATTCCAAGGTAAGGTCTTCATCAAATTTGCTTGCGTAACTGAAATGTACTTGAATTTTCGACACACATGTGTGGGCTATTTGTCTAACTGAACTTACAGGGTTGGCCTTGGTGATGTAAGGCCTGATAAAACAGCAAGTGGGAAAAAAAAATCTATCAGTATTCAGGTCAATTCTAATCCCAGGAGAAATCAACCCTGACTGTCCTTTGGAAGGACAGATGCTGAAGCTGAAATATTTGGCCACCTAAGGAGAAGAGAGGACTTCCTTGGAGAAGACACTGATGTTGGGAAAGATGGAAGGCCAAAGGAGAAGGGGGTGGCAGAGATAGTACTAGCAACAGCACTTATATACTGCTTCACAGCCCTCTCTAAGTGGTTTACAGAGTCAGCCTCTTGCGCCCCAACGATCTGGGTCCTCATTTTTCCAACCTTGGAAGGACAGAAGGCTGAGTCAACCTTGAGCCGGTCGGGATTGAACTGCTGGCAGTGGAATGCAGAGTTAGTCTACAATGCTGCACTCTAACCACTGTGCCACCAGGAAGGAGAATGAGAAAGGAACTAAGAGAGGGAGGGAGGGAGAGAGGAGAAAGAGAAACAGAGAGAAGGAAGGGAGGGAAAGAAAAGAGAGAGAAAAGGAAGAAGAGAAAAGGAAAAAGAAAGGAGGGAGGGAGGAGAAAGAGAGAACAAAGGAAGAGAAAGGAAGGAGGGAGGAATAGCAATAGCACTTAAGACTTATATAGTGCTTTACAGCGCTTTACAGCCTGCTCTAAGCGGTTTACAGAGTCAGCCTCTTGTCCCCAACAAACTGGGTCCTCATTTTACTGACCTCAGAAGGATGGAAGGCTGAGTCAACCCTGAGACGGTCAGGATCAAACTGCTGGCAGTGGGCAGGGTTTGCTTGCAAGACTGCATTCTAACCAGTACGCCACCTTGTCATTAAGATAGTGTCATCGACGCAATGGACATGAATTTGGATAAACTCCAGGAGACAGTGGAGGACACATGGACCAGGCATGGTGTGGTCCATGGGGGTCACGAAGAGTCGGACATGACTTAGCAAACGATATTCAAGTCAAGAAGAAAGGAAAGCAATGGAAGAACACCTCCCATGCAGAATTGAGAAAATGCTTTTAACTGGTCATAGGGAGTATTTTAGATTTCTCCCCCCCCCCATTTTTTCCCAAATGGAGTTAGACAAAAACAGAAAAAAAAACCCTGCTTTCCTTGCAATTTTTCTGTCCCCCCCCCCGCCTTCCTATTTCTATTCTAGACCTGAGATTTTTCAAACATTTTCAGATCATAAAAATATTTAGTTTATTTTTTTCTTTAAAAAATCTCAGAATTCCTGATCAAGAGGAAAAGCTCTAATGATAGAAAATTGGTTGTGTCTGAGTGGTTGCAAGACAACAAACTGAAAAAAAAATTCCCTTCTAGATACGGAGACATGGATAATTTTCTTCCACGTGTTTTTCTTCTCTAATCTTCTTTCCATTCCCAGTCTCTATGAATAAATTTTGCTCTATTTCTTCTGTGTTTTGGTCATCTCATTCATCCTCCCCATCCATCTGTGAGTTGACCTTCCAGTTGTCTCATTGTGTGGGCAAGTGACTACTTATTGTGGTTAGATGACATCAAACATGGGCACAAGGTTTAAAATGTGACTCCAAAGCCAACTCATTCAAGATTCTTTTCTTTCATCGCCAACTCGGTCTTATTTTAGAATTGTTTGTGCTGTACCAAGCAACTATGTTTTTATTATAATGCCACTCCATGATCAGATTAGCTTCCAATGCGAGGATTTAGACCCTAGCAAATTGGGTACAGCCATTTAAACAAATTTAACAAAATAACAAGAGTTGGAAGGGACCTTGGAGGTCTTCTAATCCAACCCCGTTGAAGCAGGTTGCTTCTCTCCTTAGTTAGTTTCCAACTCAATTTTAGCCTCCAGTCCCCTAATTATCTTTGTTGCTCTTCTCTCTACTCTTTCCAGAGTTTCAACATCTTTTTTTTTAATATAGCGGTGACCCAAACTGGATGTAGTATTCCAAGTGTGGAATACTTACAAAGTGAACAACAGAATAATGGAGTTGGAAGGGACCTTGGAGGTCTTCTAGTCCAACCCCCCCTGCTCAAGCAGGAAACCTAGCCTAGACCATGAAACAGTTGTCCAACCTCTTCTTAAAAATCTTCCAATGAGTCAGGAATTCTTAGTGGGGTTCTGGTTTTGAAGAAACCAACTCAAAAACATCTCATAGATGTTTCCAAAGAGAAAACTCATCCTGGAATGCAAGACTACATCTTGTTCAAATATACTTTAAACTGGAAGTCAACTTAGCCTATCATTGTTACTATTCAAATGTAGGGAACAAGTTAGCGCCATCATCATCTTCTGAATAGTAAATGCTAAATAAATAATTCCCAATTTAGGGTCCCCCCCCCCGTTTTACACCAAGGATTCCTGACTTGAGAACCTGAGAACAACGCTGCTGTGGAGAAGATAAATTTGCAAAGCTCACCAGTGTAAACCCCCCAAGCAATTCCTGACTCCTAGTAGCATCTATTACGGAGTTCTTCAACTTTGATGACATTAAGATTTGTGGACTTCAGATGATCTACCCCAATACCTTAGATTTAGGCAAAATAGCTAGGTATAATGAAATATTAGATAACCAGGGAAAATTAAAAACTGATCAAGAGCTGAAAGACCAAGGAATAATGATAGGTTGATGGCCATATGTTCATATCTGCAAGCGAGATATAAAAAAGACGCAGAAGAATATGGATTCAATAATGAGTTACAACAATTAGACAAAATTTTAGTAGGCCCGGAGGAGAAACTTATAACAAGAACATATAATTACTTGCTAAGATTTGATATGGAAGAGGAGGTAGTAAAAGGGTCCATGATAGCATGGGCAATTTTTTTTGGATACAACATAGAATTAGAAGACTGGGAAAAACTATGGAGTAAGAATTATACATTAACAAGGTCCACAGCATATAAGGAGAATCTTTATAAGATGTTTTATCGTTGGCATTTGGCACCAATAAGATTGGCAAAGATGTATCCCAATATGAATCCAAGATGTTGGAAATGTAAACAGAGCCAGGGTACCTTCTTTCATATGTGGTGGCTATGCCCTGAAGCCAAAAAATACTGCGTCAAAATACGGAGTTGGTTGCAAGAAATAACGAAATGTCAAATAGAGTTGAAACCTGAACTGTTCCTTTTAGGAATAATTAAGGGGAAAAAAGGACCAAATACATGATTTTACACATGACAGTGACAGTGGTGAAGATTGCATTCGCACAATACTGGAAGGGAGATAGTATACCACTGGAGGAATTAGTAATCCAGAAGACATTAGAATGTGCTGAGATGGATAAACTGACTCTAGAGCTAAAAGGCAAAGAAGAGTCAGAGTACTACGCAGTTTGGGATAATTGATATGAATGGTTGAATAGTAGGTATAAGAATAGTAGAGAT